TCATGGGAAGGCATGGCATATTGATAGCTGCGGTCCAAGAGACGAAGTTGCACAGCAATTCAACACTGTCTGTATCGTCTTATCGAAGCAGACATCGACCGCAGGGATACTACCCTAGAATGTCAGGGCATAGCCATCCGGTCAGGCGATGTTGAGCTCGAAATATTTAACGTTTAGATACCCCCTGTCACCTGCTGCCCGGCAGGATATCACCCTGACATAGGTGCGCTCAAGCCTGTCAAACGATCGTAGGGGAACTGACTTGGCTGCGCAGATAGACGATTCGACATTCTGCACAATGAACGACGACGCACCCACCAGGATTGTGGGCAGCTGCTGCAGCTCGCCAGACATAACAACAGTCAGCGCGGGTCTGATAAACAGCATATTATGGCGACCTATGCTGACTTTGGCATCATACCATCTGCCCATAGTCATCTCGATCGATAAACCAACCGACTTTGCTTCCGCAGAGCACCGAACATATATCAACTTTTCTAAAGCTGATTGGAAAGGCTTCGCGGAATTTACTGAAAACACCTTCGCTGCTCTCCCCACACCAACCGACGTCCACCTTGGTGAACGTAAGTTCCGCAGGGCTGTCACCGCTGCTGCAGCTCGCTTCGTACCGGCAGGATGTATTACGGACCCACGTCCAAATTTCCCTGCTGAAGCGGCTTTTCTAGCCGATGAGCGTGATAGCCTTCGTCAGGCCGATCCCGGAGATACCCTTATCAGGGATCTCAACGCGGAGATTCGGCAACTAGTAAACGTACATAAGCGGAAGAAGTGGGAAGAGCATCTGAAGACCTGTAACTTCACCTCTGGTGTGAGTAAGCTTTGGTCAACCGTGAGGTCACTGTCCAATCCGACGAAGCACGACGACAGAGTCGAAATTTCTTTCGGCGACCATGCTTCGTCGGACCCGGAGCGATGCACGAGCTATTTTAGCCGGCAGTTCATACTGTATCCTGCGGTGGACAAAGCCAAACGTCGAGTGACCAGAAGGCTGCATAAACTGCCAAAAACCTGTGCCCCCCTTGCTTTCACTTGCGGTGAAGTTCAGGTGGCCATCGAGAAGGCGAAAGCCCCCAAAGCCATGGGTCCCGACGGAATATGCATGCTGATGCTGAAAAATTTGGGTCCTGCGAACATCTGGAAGGTGGGAAGAGTGGTCCCACTGCTCAAACCAAGGAAACCTGCCAACATAGGAGATTCTTATCGGCCGATAACACTCCTTTCCCCGGTAGCGAAGACACTCGAGGCCTTGCTACTCCCGTATTTCACAAACCACTTGACCCCAGCGAAGCATCAGCATGGTTTCCGTAAAGTGCACAGTACAACAACAGCACTTAACGCCATAAACACTCAGATAACTCGTGGCCTTAACCGTAAACGTCCCTGTGAGAGAACGATTCTAGTAGCGTTGGACCTGTCAAAGGCTTTTGACACTGTCAGCCACTCTACGCTACTAGAAGATATAGAGGCTTCCTCTCTCCCACAGAGGCTCAAACGGTGGTCGGCAAATTATCTGAGTGGTCGACACTCGTCGGTAATGTTTAGAGACAAATCGAGCAAACTTAGAAAAATAAAACAGGAGGTTCCACAGGGTGGTGTCCTTTCCCCGCTACTGTTTAACTTTTACATTTCAAAGCTCCCTCAACCACCAGAGGGAGTCTCGATTGTCTCTTACGCCGACGATTTCTCGATCATGGCGACCGGGAATGGAATTGATGACCTGTGTTCGAAAGTAAACGGGTATCTCTCCGAACTTTCTCGCTTCTTCACTGTCTAGCCCTGTCCCCAAAGACAAAGAAACGTTGCTGGCAACAAACAAGGCAAAAGGCCGGCCGGTTTTTAACTACGCAGCACCAGTGTGGTCGCCGGGGACTAGTAGGACGCAGTGGATGAAGCTACAGACAGTACAAAACACAGCACTTAGGATAGCGACCGGATGCCTCCTGATGTCACCAGAACACCACCTCCACGATGAGGCGAAAATGCTCCCAATTAGGGAGCACAACACGATGCTCTGCAAGCAGTTTCTGGTTGGAGCCACAGATGTGGCCACCCAAATAGACAGCTGCTTGCAGAGGAGCCCTCGCCAAGGCACGTCAGGAGGCATCTATATGAACTGACGGACGAAGTCCAGAGGTTCATTAAGCAGCCTCTGGACACGTCAGCTTACTGACAGACCCTGAACGGCATTCACAGGGACGCAGTCTCGAGTTATGTAGACTCTAGACCTGTGAATGCCGTTCTAGACACCCAAACACTGGACATCGACGCGACGGAGCTCCATCTGCCTCGGGAGACCTGAACAACAATAGCCCAACTTCGCGCTGGCTACTGCAGCAGGCTAAACTCCTACCTGAGTAGGCTAAATGCGGATGTGCCGAACGAATGTCCGGCATGCGGAGAGACCCCTCACGACTCGAAACATCTCTTCGCATGCCCAGAAAACCCCACAACCCTAACGGCGTCGTCCCTGTGGACTGTCCCCATAGAGGCTCCACGCTTCTTGGGGCTGCCGTTAGTGGAACTCGACGACAACGACAGAGATATCAACCGATCTGGGCGGGGTTGTTGTAGCCGCTACAACAATAACAACAACGAATGGGGTTGCCACCTGTTTGTAAAGTCGAATTTAATTAAGCTAAAATAATAATTACGTTAAACCATAAGCCATCGCATTTGTTATTTTATTACAAATACATACATTTTTAATCAGTGATTTGTTCTGATTACATTCCTTTTAAAATACTGGACTCTTAAATTAACTCAGGAATGTTTTTACTCTTCACTTATTTCTTGCTAAATATGTAAAATTTTTCATTTGTCTGACACTCATATTGATATACATATTTCAGTTACCTTAGTACCTTAATTAAAGTAAAATTGATTTTTTAAACATGTGGCAACCCTTCTACGTGTCGTTTAGAAGTAAAGTATTTTCAAAACTAGTTCAATTGATACCCATATTGTAATATCTAATTCATTTAACTTATTAAATAATTTTAATAAAATTTGTAACAGGTGGCAACCCTTTTCAAAAATAAAAAGCTTTATTGCACATCTGCAGGCCAAGCCCTGTCATTTGACTCCTCACTTTTGAAAATAGAACGAGCTATATGTACATACCAATGTAAAAGCCACAAGAACCCAAATTTTCAACTGCAAACTGCATTTACAGTGAAAGTATGAAAGTTATCCGAAAACTTGCATTTTTGAATTTAGCGTCCTCAATTTTACTAAGAAGCGAATTTTCATTTAAATCCGTCCATAATTCTATTTTTGCCCACATTTTATATGGCACTGTGTGTCGCGGTAACACTGCATATGAATGCATAATACGCGAAGACTTTTTCGTCATATCAAATCTGTACCGTTAGTTCGATTTTACAAAATGAGGTATCAAATTAAAGGCAATCGCCTGCGGATGTGTAACAAATCCTTAATTTCTCAAAAAGAGTTGCCACCTAATAAAAAAAAATTTAATTCAAATTAAATCGATTATTACACTATAAGTATCGATCGAAAGGTCTTTATTTTCTAATTATATGTAGTAGGATTGCCCCCTGTTTCAAAAAGCAAGTTCGACTTAAATAAAGGCAAAAAATTGAAATGTATATCCCGATATGGATGTCAGACGAAAGAGGTTGTGGTTAGAAAATATTTTAAATATTTTGCGGACGGTTGCCACCTTGTTACAAAGTTAGATTCAATACAAGCAATATACTAAATAAATTACTTCAATATGAATATAACGGGTGATTTTTTTGAGGTTAGGATTTTCATGCATTAGTATTTGACAGATCACGTGGGATTTCAGACATGGTGTCAAAGAGAAAGATGCTCAGTATGCTTTGACATTTCATCATGAATAGACTTACTAACGAGCAACGCTTGCAAATCATTGAATTTTATTACCAAAATCAGTGTTCGGTTCGAAATGTGTTTCGCGCGTCCGATTTATGGTCTACATAATCGACCAAGTGAGCAAACAATTAATGCGATTGTGACCAAGTTTCGCACTCAGTTTACTTTATTGGACATTAAACCAACCACACGAATGCGTACAGTGCGTACAGAAGAGAATATTGCGTCTGTTTCTGAGAGTGTTGCTGAAGACCGTGAAATGTCGATTCGTCGCCGTTCGCAGCAATTGGGTTTGCGAAACACATTTCGAACCGAACACTGATTTTGGTAATAAAATTCAATGATTTGCAAGCGTTGCTCGTTAGTAAGTCTATTCATGATGAAATGTCAAAGCATACTGAGCATCTTTCTCTTTGACACCATGTCTGAAATCCCACGTGATCTGTCAAATACTAATGCATGAAAATCCTAACCTCAAAAAAATCACCCGTTATATCAAAATTGCTTTGAAGAAACTTTGGCCCGTATTATGAGTTGCATTCGATCTTCGACTGTGGTCGAAAGTGCTGATCGAACGAATTTTCATTTGGTATTATGGCGCTCATTCGATGAAGAATAGCGCTATTGTGAATTTCGCTTGTTTAGGTTGTTCACAATAGTATATTTTCACCGCTGAGAAGCTTTGTTTACAAATCGAGCAAACTAAATAGTGTGCTTATAAAATTGTAAATTTGTGCAAATTAAAATGAAATAAAAAAGAAAGCGAGTTTATAAAAACGTGGTAAAAATTAGTACAACGGAGTTCTGGCTCAACGATTCGTCGGAGGAGAGAGCTTAGAAAACTGGCCAGGAGCAGAACAAATTTGAGAGAGTTAAGTGTAGTCTTTCGAATATATTTTGACATCGAATATATTTAAGAAATTTTGTGATCCAAATCTATTTAAAATATATTAAAACTATAAACAGTTCTATGATTTTGTTCTCAGAGATCTTGCCAACAGAGTATTGGCATTTTCTTTCATAAGTAAAACTAGCCTTTCGAGCTTGTGTTTAGTATTCACGACGTTAGAACTGCATAAAATTAATAAAAATTGTTTAAAAATAGTGTCTAAATCAAATGCAAAATCATAAATTTTTCACAATTTTCTGACACTTCGCTACACCAACGAAAGCAAAATTCTGGGCCCGAATCGCGGCATTCGTGATCGAGTGATTACTCGTTTCGAATCGAATGAAACAAAATGGCAGCTGCTTTCTCCACAATACAATTTAAACGAATGAAGCACACTCGCTATCGAATGCCGCGATCTCATAATCGAATTTCGATTCGAGTTACGTTCGATATCAGCGATTCAGGCCCTGTTCGCCAAAAAATTCGATGCTTAACGAAAATTTCGACACACTTGCATAGCTCATAATACGAATTTCACTTTCGATCTTCGATAGCCACACACATTTTTGTTGAGGCTTCAAGTATACGTTTATGAATTGTGTCCAAAAGCAACCATCTTGTTTAAAACAATAAAAATAAAGCTAAATAATACAAAGGTTACCTCTTTTTTTTTAGCCCATGTATGTACGTAGGCTTTTTTAATACACTCATAGTGAGTATTCAGAATCTCTTGGATCAAATTGAACTTTTTCTTGTGATACGATCTAATACATATACAGTGGTGGAAGAAATAATAGAAACTTTTTACTTTGACCAGTTTTGGCTATATTACTTTGTTTATTCGATGTTTAATGTTTTTGTATAAAAGTCTAGCGCAATATATAACACACACTATATAAATCCATATTTCAAAGTTTGTACAAAAATTATAAAAATTCAACAAATTTTAACAAAATCCCCCAAAAATTTCAAACTTTTTAATCAGATTTTTTTGAAAAATTTTGGTAATGCAGTTTCATAGCCCATTAAATTTTAGGAGGTAAAAGTGCAAACCGCAAGACACTAGAAAATCGCATTGATTTTTAATATTTTTTTTTGCTGACGCTGCTAGGCATTTCCTTCCATATAAAAAGAAATTTTGTGCATGGTCGAGCATACTTTATATGGAAGAAAACGCACAACACCGCCAGCTAAATAAATTATTAAAAATCAACGCGATTTTCTAGCGTCTTGCGGCTTGCAGTTTTACCTACTAAAATTTAATGGGCTATAAAACTGCATACCCAAAATTTTTCAAAAAAATCTGATTGAAAAGTTTGAAATTTTTGGGGAATTTTGATAAAATTTGTTGAATTTTTATAATTTTTGTACAAACTTTGAAATGTGGATTTATATGGTGTGTGTTAATATATTGCGCTAGACTTTTATACAAAAATATTAAACATCGAATAAACATAGTAATATAGCCAAAACTGGTCAAAGTAAAAAGTTTCTATTATTTCTTCCACCACTGTATGTATAAAAATCCATTTAGTTGACACGTTTACTAATATTCGTGTAACCGATACCCACGCATGTCATCAGTACTTTTTGCGCCCCTGGCAGTGCATCTTGTTCATCGTCACTTTTTGGATTTTCCAACTTGAATGTTATAGAAAAGAAGTCGCGCAAATTTTGCAGAAAGTGTATGGTATACGTGGAAAGTGGACCTAAATAGGGAGACTTATTAAAGAGCTATGTATATTGAATAAAACATCATTTTACCAGTCAAGAATTTTGAAACATTTTTCTGACTCAACGCCATGAATAGAGTAACAAGCCACTGATACGAAGAGTCGCAGCAACCTCCGCGATAAATTTCATCAAGCAACTTCATCGCAGCTTCACGGCCCAAATCTTCAGGTACTGACGGATCGTTTCCCTGCTCAAGTAATGCTTTTATATTTTTAATATTTATAACATAGGGAAAACATACATCATCTTTGCTATTTGATATGCTTTCTGCGGCGTAACTAACATCGTCTGTCGTCTCTGCTATTAAACAAATACCGAATCCAGGGGAATTACCAGACATTTTACCACGATTCTGATCTGTGTAGATGTACACGTCAGGCAAAAACTTTAGCATCACTCCTTTTGCTGCTTCAACCGTACGATTAGCCATTGCTGGCGATACTTTGCAAGCGTATACTGTGCCGCGTATTCGTTTTACCATGCCTTGTGATTGTAATTGCAGTGCCCGCAAATTTTTTCGCACAGGACATCGAAATTGGATTTCACCACCGCCAAGAGGAGGGACACCTCTACGTACTACTTTTAGCTCTAGTCCATCATCCACAATTAAGAAACGTTTTAAAACAGGTAGCGCTGACCCTTTAATGTGATCTATGGATGGCGAATCTTTGCTATTTGTAACACCTTTTAGAGTTGCGTTAATTGGGTTTTTACAGAATGGGCCAAGGGCTATCAATGCATCCAAAAAGTAGCCTATACCACGATACACGCAACAGTCGTGTTGCAATGCACCGCCATATAACAAACCTGGTGTGAAGAGTATTGAAGTTCCCGATGGATTAAGTTCAATTTTGGTCCCATTTGTTAGTTTATCAAGTAGCCGTATGAAACCTATTTCGTATTCTCGAAGACCAGGAGCCTTATCATCATCTAAATTAATATGTGTAATTTTCACAGGTTTTCCACTAAGGCAGGAAAGTATAAGTCGCTGAAAATATAACACAACCATCCGGTTCAAAATAGTGTACGAGTAATATTTTTCCAAGTTCACCTGTTTCAAGAAGTTGCTGCCTTTATAAATTAAGCTATTTCCCTCTTGTGCTATAGGTGGCATATTTTTACAAATCTGTTTAATGTAAATTTTTCAAAAAAATTAAAAACTGTAAAATTGTTTATATCTGGGGCACGTGTATTCAAACGTCAAAGCGAGTAAACAAACGAGGTTTGGCAGCACCGACAAGAAGTCCAAAAAAAAATCGATTATGACATCGACACATACACATACAATTTGTTTAATTCTCGACACATCATCGATGTCTATAGAGTGGAACGATTAAAAGCGAAACTTGGAAAAGTAGGTTTTTTCCCTAACAATCCGGACCGGATCCGGTAATTAGAGAATAGCGAAAAGTTTGCTATCAAAAGTGAAACAAAGTCCAGAAGTACAGGAACGCAAAAAATCACATTTCGTGCCCAGTATTTGAGAAACAGGTGATTCACGTGGTTTTTGTCACTTAAATGCAAACAGTTGGTAATTGAATTTCGGAGTAAGAGTCCGGGTAAAACTTCGTCAGAGTGCACCACGCTTTGAACAAAATGACTTTTGTGGGAGGGTAGAGGGGGTCCTACACATCACAAAATTTAACCCAACAAAATGTACGATAACAAACCATTTCAAACAAAGGGAAATCTTTAGCTGTTTGTATAACGATTTAGGGGTGGGGGCGGAGGGGGGGGCCGTGGATCCCCAAACCCCTCCTAAACGAAGGAGGATGAACGCCGCTTTATGAAAAGTCACCCCTCATCATACCTGCTCCCCCCCCTAAAAACCCCTTGGGAGCTGTTTTAAAATAGGGCAATTTTAGATTTTTGGCAAGTAAAAAACAAAGTTAAACTTGCGTCCGAAGAAGGGGGGCTGAACACCCTTTGCAGAGAACACCTACCTGCGTAGGCGGCCTTTGGCCGCGCTTAGGGATTATAACCCTTTGTTGTAGATTATTGAGAATAGCGCAGATTAAGCCAATAGATAAATGATAATCGAAATAAAATTGTAGACTTTTTATTTGAGAAAATATAGTTCGCTTTTATGGAACGTTTTTTATTTGGTGTTAACCGCTTGAAAAATTGTCGCTGAAAGTAAAAAGGTGTTCGCACGAGGCGATTTTGCGGAAAAAAAGTTGAATGGCTAAATGTTGGCTGGCGACCAACTTTGTTGAAAGCGATTAAATGAAAGGCCGTTCAACCAAAAATAGAATGCAAAGTTGGACAATGCAAACGCCTTTTTATGGCGAATATT